GAAAATGTCAAAAAAAAAACAAACCACAATCGCAAGCTGTCAAAATGACTGCAATTTTTTTTTTAATGGAGTGCCCTATATATTATTAGGTTAAATCGTAGGTCATTTTTTTTCTGATTCCAAAAACATATAGTTTATTGACAGTTCATTTAGCTATTTTTGAGATTTCTCGACAATAGCCACATTGTTTAAAAATGGTCAAGTCTGCCTTGATAGCAACCATCTTATCTATGTTTGCAATTGTTTTAACAATATACTATGGATCTGCAGCAGAACTTAAATAACTTAAGATATTTCAAATGGAAAAAAAGGAAGAAAAACTCTAATTGATAAAGTTATATTATTCAAACGGACATAATGTTGCAAAGGTTAACAATGTATCCGGATATTTGTATTAAACAATTTGGCGACCGAATAGTGTGACACGGAATACTAGGACAATAGAAAGAAATTTTGATGAAGACCTCAATATAAATTATATACTATTACCACTCTTGACATCATGACTTTGAGCTCTACTTTCTTAATTTTTATATTTCATATTTTTGAGAAAATCCTGAATATTCTATACCTGACTTAAAAAAAAATATCCGGAAAGTCCCGTAGTAAAATTCAACGTTCGCTAAAATGCCATACGTTTCACCCTTATAAGTTCCTTTCAGTGCAAAATTTAACCGAGGAACATAAAAAGCAGAGGCTCGAATTTTGCACTGAAATGTATAAGAGATCTCAAGAAAACAGAGGAAACCCTGATTGTATCACATCGTGTATCGATAATAAGTAAAAATGTTTAGCATTAATTGTTGATATTTCTATTGTTTAAATAATATAATTTTATAGTAACGCAAACCTTTATAAACCATTAGATATCGATGTAAAACCCCCTTTCTGAGTCTAACTAAAAGTCTCACGAAATTGTACGTTTTGATATGACAATTGTTTCCACAACACCGTGTCTTTATCAAATGTTTCAAACATCAATTGTTTGTCGAAATGTAAAACTATATAATTTCGTGAAAATCTGAACTTTTAGTTCTTACTTATTTGTACGATCGTCCGCGATGCGAGCACGCAGAACAAAGAAACCGGAGGCCCGCGTTCCCCGAAAACGTATCCGAAATCACGGGCACGACGGAACAGAGCTATTAAAGCGTGCCCGACCACGCCCACCTCTATCTCAGGCCAATCATCTGGTCGCGCCTATCGATCGGAAACGTCACTTCCTTCAGTCGTTTCGGGCGCCATTTTACCCCCACCGGCGCGCCGCCGCCGCCGCCGCCGCCTCTACGAGCTTTGCTTTGTGAACTCCGTCGCATATTTGTGGAGATTGTTTTTTTGTGCTAGATTTTCAAAAACGCGCGAAAAATATTTTTTTTTTTAGCCCGGTCGACGACATTGAAACCAAAACCGGACTATAAAGACCACGAAACTTTCAAGTCCGTGGTGGTGGTCATGGTATTAACCAAAAGCCTTGAAGCGGATAAACGTCAGAAGAATCAAAATTGCGATAGAGATTGTCGTTATCCGAGATCTCCTAAAGAAATCTTCCGATTTGTCCACCCTGAGTAATAACCTTTAGGAAGCGGCACACCTCCCCTCGGTATACCGGGTGACACAAGAAAGTGCAATGTGCAATTTTTTGACTATGTGTACTCAATGGTTGCACTTACCCATATTTTTTTACATTTTTGGATTCCATGTAGGGTAGGACGGTTTTTCTGTTCCGTTTTTTTTTTAAATTTTTATTTAATTTTTGAAAATTGAGTGTGCCCATCATAACTAATGCTTGCCGGGTCGCCTGATTATCGAAAAAATGGTAAATGAAACTTTTATTTACTTGTCTATTGGCAAATACCATCTAATGTAATGAAGTAATAATTATTTAGCATAACCTACTTTTCTCAAATAACACCCTAGTCGGAACAAAAGCTTTTTAAAACCGGTCCATTTTTTGCAATATTTTGACATCAAAATTTTCGAAATCCGTTAACAAATAAGCTCACGGGAAGGAAAAGACCAGATAAGTAAATAGTTTTTTATAAAAACAAAATATCTAGAAATATAGAACAAATAATAATTAGAACAGGCGATGATAGCGATAGTGATACTGATATATTATGTGAAAAATTTTAAGTTATTTAAGCAGGTAATAAAAATAATTTATAATAAATATTGTTTAGTATCCTTCCTAACAAAACCCCAAATAATTAAATTCTAAGCAAAGTACGGACCTGTTCGGCCATATCTCATTCCTACAGCTTGCCCGTTTCTTTCCTTAATTCGTATCAGTTGGTCACTGTCTTATATCTACTCAACCTTATTTTTTGAACTATCTAGTGAAAACAGTTTCGTAGAGTCAACGCTCGGGAATCAGGTACACAAATACGCTCTTACTGGAAGGATCACATTCAAATACCCCCGTAATATATACCAACTAATTGCAATTTAGATTAAACTCTTAAGAATGATACAAATCACCTGATGCTAAAATAAACGCTTCTACTTATTCGAAAATACCCCGCCGCATCGATGCTTGATCAAATTTAAAATTGTCCATTTACGTTTCAAATAAAAAGTTTAAGTTTCCACGAAAATTCGTGACGGTCCATATCAAGCAGATTTTACCACGGTCCTGCGAAGGTCTGCAGTTAAGGTACTGTAGAATGCTTAAAGCGTCAAAGCAATAAATGCACTATATTTTTGGCGGTACTACAAGAAAATATTCACTCATTGTAATATTGTGATAGATTCGATGACAAAAATTGGATATGCTCGGTTCAAAATAAACAAATTTTGTTTTGCTTTTCGTTCCGAGTAAAAATTTCCAGCAAATATGATTCCATGAATTCAGATTTTTTTTTATCCCAAAGGTAAAGTCCCAGGACAGTAAGGTCTGGAGATCTGGCCGTCCTAGTATGTTCGAAACTCCCCTGAACGAGCCTCGTCAAATTTGACGCTCAATTTCCTTGACGCACCACCTCCCACACATAAATCATACACCGCTCGTCAGACACGTGTCCCGTCGCTGGGTAACAAGTGCGTTAAAGCGGACGGGGGTGCACCAAATGAGCGGCACGTGCCAAAAACCACTCAAGTAATAACTCGGTTCCCGGAGTTATCGAATTAAAAATTGCCCGGAAACGTATATGGACGAGCGTGGATGGTGGTGGCGACCTATCGATTTTTATCGGGAATTATCGCATCGATGTGTGTGTACGTACACATCAGCGGGGTGGAAATTACAATAATCCTAGCCGCGAGGGATGATGTGTCCGACGTCCAGGTCCACGTAAGTGGACGTCGGCGTCGTGGACCGCGACGTCGCCTGACGGCCGTCGCGTATAGTCCTTTCGCAAATATTGGCGAAAATTATAGATACCTAACTATATCAAAATAATATCAAGGGACATAATCATACATCTCGTCCCTATGACGCAAAATGAATCAAAATTTTAGAAAATCGGTTGGGGGATCAACTTTCCATCATAAGTACTTATAAAATATATATATAGATTAATTTTTTATGATCACGTGGTAAATGGGGGGTCCACTTGACATGCTCTTACTTATTTGCATTATAAACGTCCATAAAGGCTTTTACTCCTTCTTGAAGTTTTTCGGATATGGGGTGTAAATGTTTCGTTACTCCCACTACAGGGTTGTCATTCGCACAAACTTCAAAATCATAATCGCAATCTATATTTTGCAGTTTTTCTTGAACTGTGCTAGATTTCGGTTCTTTTACTAATACTTTACAACTGATTGGAATAGTTTCCAGTCGTATATATGAGAAACTAAGCACTGAATATTGAAATAAGTTAATTCCTTTATGTTATCTCTTGTAATAAAATCTACTAATCTACAGGCTTTTGTTCTCTCAAATAGCCCAAACATTAATTCAACCACATTATTCGTTTTATAACAACTTTTATCTGAAAAAAGACATTAAATACCTTTTCCATAAATAGTTTTTTTTAAGTTAAATGCAATTTTGAACTCAACAGGGTCCTCACTTTGATCTCACATTAAAATTGAAAATAATAATATAATTAGTTAAACGCTTTCCGCTGATACTTGAAAGTAAAAATTCATAATTGTTTTTAGAAAAACTGTTTACTAGAACAGAACACGTGTCAATTATATTACTAGCCATGATGATGAAATTTATGAAGTATTTTTAATAAATCCAATTTTTTTTCTCTTCTTTCGATGGCTGTAATAATTTCCGAGATGATAGTAATCAAAAGTTTACGAAAAACTGGATTTTGTAGTAGTTTTCCTCAAAAACTATCAATTTTTATTATTCTGTGTTCAGTTTTGAAGAATTTTTATCATAAGGAGGTTTTATGTATAAAATATTTTTGATTTAATAAATTTAAAAGTCATACTCAGTTCCAACCCAAATGCACATTTTAAACGTGACCGTAAAAATGACAGTTGCGTACTTGAACATTGATACTAACAAAGAATAAAATGTAACATAAATAAATCAAAAAATAAAATTTTCAAAATGTTGTCCATTCGCGTTTGAAAACAAAATAATGTGTCCTGTTTTTTTTACAATGCCTAGAGCCGGACAAAGTACTATGTCTCCTCAACGCAAAACTTGGTTCAATAAATTTGACTATAGCAAAGCCTTTGGTACTTAGGATCATAATAAAATTAAGGTTATTTATTATTTTGCTTTCACTTTTGCGTTTTTTGCTTTTGAAATTTCAGCTTAAATTGTTTTGGTGCTGGTGTGTCGTAAATAATCGATTGACAGCTACGCGTCATCATCATATGAGTCGATTTAGGAAAATGTATACAAGCGATGCAACTGGGGTCCAAAATTTGAACCCTGTGTCACTCCTGAAACCAATTTTTTTATCATCGTCTTGTGTTTTTGTCTGTATGTTGGTAGTTATTGTTTACACGGAGATATATTTTGTAAACAAGTCCAGTAAAATAAATAAATAAAAGTCACGAGCTTTTCTAACCCGCATTTTCTTTGTTTTCAGAGTCGAATTTTGGAAGACGCCTCGATCATGTGCAACTCGTGGTCTCCAAGACACAACGTAAGTGCTCTTCCGTTAGTTTCGTCCTCCCCGCGCCCAAATTCACGTGCAACTTCCTTCATAAATAATTGATGGCGTCGCGCCACGTCGAAAAAGGCATCCATCAACTTCCGTTCCACGATTTCCACAAAAATCTCCCGCGGTTAAGTGGATACGGAAAATTGCGGTAAACAGACCAATAACGTACGATGTAATGGCGAAAGAGACACGCAACCCTTTCTACGCGAGTAGATATGTTACGACGGTTCGGCAGCCATTTCGGTCGTTTTAAGTGTTGCCAGCCCAGTGGCGTATCCGCCATGTTTAACCCCCACGTGCTTGTCCAAGGTGTAAGGCAGCTCCCGAGATATTATGGGATTGTTAATGATCAACAATAATAAATATTACAATATAAGTTATTGACAACAAAATAGACACCCGTATATCAATCGTAAATATAAGAAATAGTTACACATCATGAACTCATACGCTTTTGCTAGATAATGACTGGCCTAATAAACATGATTAACGATTTTTTGAGGGACTTTATTGCGGAGAGGGACGTTATAGCGTAAGGTATTTCATTAAATCCTTTAACTGCGTTAAAGCTAAAGGATATCTGGAAAGTCACCGATGTGTGTCTAGGAATGCAAAGGTCAGTTCTTCTGCAAAGTTTATAAAACAAGTACGGCGGGGTATTATTGGAGTTTAGTGAAGAAGCAAAGGTGGCTTACTGAACTCGATTTAGTATAGCTGGCCAATAGACGATACTGCAATAAGCGACATGGGATAAAACTGACATATCACAAAGCTTAAGATTGACTTTTTTACTGAGAAAATGTTTATGAATATACAACGTCCTCAATTTATAGAAGGATTTACAAGTTTTGGTAGTGACTTACTATGAACATAAGTAACACTTAATTAGTGGTGGTTAGCCCACAAACCCAAGAAGACGACATAACGAACAAATGGGATTGCGATGAAGAAATTATATCTCATATATCAATTGGTCTAGAGATGCCCTAAAATCTTGATTGGCGTAACGCTAAATCTGACCAATTTGGCCATACGGGATATAAAGAGGGTCCCTCATAATTAAGTGTCTTAATGGAATTAAAGTACTGTAGATGTCAGTCTTGGGAAGATTACAAAAATTCTCATGAACAGAGCATGTAATAAGTGAAATGGAACTACAAAGAAAGTCAGCTACTGGATACAGTCAAATATGGTAAAGTCTCTTCTTTAGGACTCATATTTGCTTGCTGAAAACCGTAGTTATGGGAAAGATGGAGTGCAGAAAACAGCATTCCTAGTTTCGCACTATAAGGGACTGGTGTAACATTCAAAATGGAGCCACCCTATTTACATCGAACTGTGATGAACGCTATCCGAGCGTGTGACACTAGAAGAAGAAGGAGTAACCCAAGAAAATGACACTTACAGTTGAGAATTAGCAAGATAATCCTAAAAACATAAAACAAGTTCCAATCACCATTTTTGGGTTATTCGACCACATCTCTTCCAATTTCCAAAACCCATGTGGTATCGTCGACGGACTTTCATTAAAGCTCTTTTCATAAACCTATCCGAAAAGCGACGTCCGAAAACGAATGCCGTCCCCTCCCGCCCGCCTAACCTCCAAACTCGCCCCGGTGATAAATCTACGGCCGCTACTCCGGCGAAACTAACGAGTAGGCAATGGAATTACCGCGATTATCACTTGTCACGGCCGCCATAACTCTTCATCTGTTTCCGAGGTATGCGGAACGCGAGAGTAATGGGATGAATTAGCGCCCCCCCCCCTGCCCCGACTCTGCGTAAGACTAATTGTTTTCGTGTCGGAGTAGGATTACGCGGGAGTTTTGGGGAGCGCCGCTACAAGAAAGGCAATTCTGGTATCTTCTAGAGTCAAATACGAGGTTTTTGATTGTAGTGCTTCTTTGACCACGCCAAATCATTATCTGAAGGGGTGGTCCCACTTCACAAATGAAATTTCGTGCGTCTCATCTCCTCCAGGTCTATTGCCCTCACTGAAAACATAATTAATAATTAATTTGCATATGAAACATCGTTTCTGCAATCAACAACCCCAGCCATTTAAGGTAAAAATGAGTTCAGTTGCTCTATATAGCTTTACATTCTGGGGTGCCACAGGGTTCTGCTTTGGGACCACTACTCATTTCAGTTTATGCGTCTGACATTCTCAACGTCCGTCTGTACTGTAAAGCCGATGACGTAGCGACTATCTGAGAAAATCAATGATACCAAAAATATTTATTCTTGATGATTTTTTAAAAATGTACAGGATGCGCCGGCAAATTGCAAAAAACTGAAAGTTGGATTCCCTTTATAAAGATAATTGACCATAACTAGGAGGCTGTGTTTCAGCAGCCATTTTCTTTCACGCGACCATATAGTCCGTATGGACTGCTAAAACTTTGGAAAAATTCCTAAACCAGGAGAAATGGGAGATCCAGGGCTATTACCTCTAATTCGAACATTGTTTGAATTTTATGCAGTGATATTTGAAAAAATCCATATTTCGGGGGCTGTCAAGACGCGATGACTTCATTGATTACTACGGCGCACTGCATGGCTTCAGAAAAAACTTATTTTCTCGAAAACCATTTACTATTTTCAAAAAATTCTTGGTCTAGGAAACGTGGCAGATCCAGGGCTATAACCTCTACTTCGAACATTGTTTAAATCATATACAGGGTGTGTCGTTTGTGGTCAAAAAATCTAAACGTCCTAAACATTTCCGTTTTTGTGGGTAAATTAGTGGCGATAAATGAAAAACCGTTAAAGATGGGATAATTTTATTTGATCAGTATCGTAAACTGTGTCGAGGGAGAGTTTCAAGTTTAATCTATAATACAGGGTTCGTGAAATATTTAAAAAAATGTCATTGGAAATCGCTATTATTTGTAAAAATTTTAATATTTACCAAACTTTGCCGTAACTTTGAAGTTCGGCCAGACGTGAAAGACACTTTATACCGAGTGCATTCACACCAAAATGAAATCGATTTTGCCAAAGTCCCATAGTGGTCCGCAGTGGCAGGATACAAAAACAATGCTTCCCTCTCGGGCATAAAACCTTAAAAATACAAAGCTGCTTGGTGACATTGTAGACTGCGTAGCGCATAGTACCGAGTGGACGATTTGCACTGCCACGTTTTTTCGAAATCAGTCTGGTTCCTGATTTTAATTGTTTGTTTAAACTTTGTCAGCGGATATAGGGGATTGAATATAAATGATCGCAGAGAGACACATATTAGTTGTTTTATATTAATTAATCATGATTGCTCTAGCTCCTAGCTCCCTTTGCCCTGTTAATATTAGAGATGCAATGTCAAAGTCCAGATTAAACATTGTTATTGCATTTTTTTTCTCTTAAAGCTGTCAATGTTTGATTGAATACATTCTACTGAACATATTTACTTGAATAAAAGGCATTTATTATTGGACTTGGGACTAGTGTCACTGGCCTCTGCCCCTCAATGTGTCGCTCTCAGTCTCTGTTTTTCTGCGTGGTGTTTGGTAGTGATCGTCGTTATGGAACTTGTTGCTTTCGAAGATCGTTGAAATCGAATTTTTCGAAAGTATCTGCGCCCGTATAAAAAATTTATATCTCGGTAACGGTAGGTCCTATGGGATCGCCGTTGGTACAGAAATGATCACCGTCGAAAAAAACTATTTTTTTTGTCTGTTTGTCCGTTCTCCGTTCTCGTCTTGTGGTTTTTCCTGAATAACTTTCGAACCATTGGAGCTACAAAGTTGAAATTCGCCCCCTTTTTAACCTTCGACGAGGCAGATAAGCTTATAACAAATGGCCCGATCCGACGCCGGTATCCATCTTTTTTTTCGCGATTTTCGACTGTTTTTTGGACCTTGCTATGAAACACGATACCGGACGTATTGAAACCTATTGAAAATGGGGGGGCTGGGGGGTCGGGAAGTTTTCTAAAAAAATAAAAAATGCGATTTTTTAGGTCTCCCCTGGCCCGACGTCCACTTTGTTTTAAAGTTTGCGTTCAGTGGCGTGCGCAGGGGAACACAGCAACCGACGCCGCTATTACGGGCGTTTCTTTTGATCTGGCGACCCAAAAACGAGCCACTCGAACAGTAGACCAATAATATAATATATGAAGTTGCCCTCCCTTTCTCGTGGCGCCCCTCGCCATACTGCCGCACATTTTTACAACGAGGCCAATTGCAACAAACTAAATTGACAAAGGATAGGATTTTGTATCAAAATACAATAGGAGACATCTTATACTTGAATTATATTGGATTTGGAAAAAAAATAGTACAATATATTTAGAATTATGGAAAAATTGCGTCAAACCGTCAAACGGCCCAAATAAATTTACATGGAACACTGTCAAACAAGATATTGAGATTTCTATTTCTATTGTATTTTCTAAATGTTTTTATAAGATAATAAGTTGCCTTAGAATTAGTTTCAATTTTTTTATGAGGACGAAACTAACCCAAAGTACTAAAATAAAAGCAGTATTTTTGAGTTTTTGATAAAAAAACAGCGGATCTGTCAAAAATGACATAATATGATGGCCAATTAAGAGAAGAAAGCGTCTGTACGTCGGAAAGTAATAATCACAAATTGTTTGAGGGTTTTTTCTTAATGAAACCTGCAACGTCCGATAGAGGGGAAACAATACCAAGTAGAAAAATAGTTTTTTTAATAGTCCCGTACTTTTTGCCAATATTTCTTTTATCACAGAACTTTCGAGTTAATTGTTCCTTTAAAAAAACGTAAAACATCAACATCAAAACGAAAAAACATTTTTTTTTATAAAATAACGAGCATATTTTTTACTAAAAAGAGATCTTTTGGTTTTGAAGTTTCGTAGATAACGCTAAGTGAAGCTGCGTAAAATGGTGTGGTGACCTATTTTTGATTTTTTTTTGCAAAACAATGTAACGAACTGAATTCTAGTCGACTGAAAATGCGTGCCACTGAGTTTTCCGAGATCCATAAACATGTTTCCTTTTCTATTACACAGTCTTGCTTGTTGACATTTTATCCCCTTCTCTTTTTAGCATGTTTTGAAGAAAAAATGGAGAAAATGTATAGGTTTAGGCTTAGGTTTGTTTATTTATGTATGTGTAGGAAGTCAAAACAAAATAAACAAATACATATAACTTCAATAAAACAATATAACAATAAAAGTGTAAAACACTTAAGGTCACTTAACAAATTTGTAAAAGTGGACAGGTTATATAGGTTTAAATTTTGAAATTTAGGTATTTAGGAGAAACCCTATACTTGAATTATATTTGATTTAAAAAAAAAATGAGCACAATATATGTAGAATTATTTGAAAATTGCGTTGGAGCTTTATAAAAATGTCAAACGGACTAAATAAATAAAATTACTTTAAGTTTCGTGGATGACGCTAAGTGACACTAACTAAAATGGTGACCTCTTTCTCAGTCTTTTCGCAAAAAAAAATTTCCTCTTCTAAGAGTTTTTTTTCGAAAACGAAACGCTCTGACTGCATAACTAGATATTGCATTTTAGAGTGAAATAAATCGAAATACATACCTTCCCATAACTTAAGCATTGAGAGATTGCTTAAGCCTTCGCATCGTAAACAGTTTCGATTCGATTCGAAAAAACATATGACGGACTCTGATAAACAAAATAAAATATTTGATATTAATAAATGATTTTGGTAATATTGCGTGTCAGAACGCACTGTATACTAAAATAGTTTCTTGTGAGCAATGGTTAAACATAAAAATATTTAATGATAATAAGTTGATTCTAAAAAAAAGTCAACCTGTGGGCCCGCTCCGCGCCGTCGAAAGTCAAAAATCCCCGCCGGAAAGTAAAATATTTACAGTGGACATAGAAAACTAAACGCCGGCCTGAAATATTAACACACTTATGAAAAAATTACCGGTTACAATGGAACGTACATGTCGCGCGATCAACAGGTGCGACCGTGTCATAAATAAATCAGAATTCATTAATAAAAGTCGGGCTTACATGTGTTCTTTCGGCGGAAAGGGAAAGTTTTTCCGCGCTTTTCGTTTTCCGATCGTTTTATCGCTCGTTCGGATTACGCGACCCGTACTGTATCTTTTGATAGGGACGGCTCGAAGAGTGCCGTTTACCTACTTTGCGTTACGGAAAATCGAAAAAAAAATTCTTTAATTACTCCTTATCTGACACCATGGGCCATGATTATTATTAACATCACTGTTAAATTTTATTGGATTATAGATGCCTTAAATCAAAATCTTAATCTTAATGATATTTTAAAGTTAAAGCTCTGTGGATTAAGCGACACCGCTATTACTTTTATAAAAATTTAAAGTTGAGTTCCTCAGTGCAGCATTTTAGGACCTTTATTGTTCTCGATTTACACATCTGACTTCTCTAGGCACCTAAATAAATGTTACTCTCATCAGGTATGCTGATGCTACTTGTCATTCTCGGTCACAGGTGTTACTTTGTCTTTCAACGGCATAAATGAGGATCTTGAAGTGATTTAACCTTTATTGTTCTCGATTTACACATCTGACTTCTCTAGGCACCTAAATAAATGTCATCAGAAATGCTAATGTTACTTGTCATTCTCGGTCACAGGTGTTACTTTGTCTTTCAACGACATAAATGAGGATCTTGAAGTGATTTAACCTTTATTGTTCTTGATTTACACATCTGACTTCTCTAGGCACCTAAATAAATGTTACTCTCATCAAGTATGCTGTTGCTACTTGTCATTCTCGGTCACAGGTGTTACTTTGTCTTTCAACGACATAAATGAGGATCTTGAAGTGATTTAACCTTTATTGTTCTCGATTTACACATCTGACTTCTCTAGGCACCTGAATAAATGTTACTCTCATCAGGAATGCTAATGTTACTTGTCGTTCTCGGTCACAGATGTTATTTTGTCTTTCAACGGCATAAATGAGGATCTTGAAGTGATTTAAACTTTATTGTTCTCGATTTACACATCTGACTTTTCTAGGCACCTAAATGAAAATTATTCTCATCAGTGTACCGATGAGATGCAAATATATTTGTCATTCTCGATCCAAGATGTAGCTTTATTTTTCAATGACATAAATGTTGATCTTGAAGTGATTTAACCTTTATTGTTCTCGATTTACACATCTGACTTCTCTAGGCACCTAAATGAATGTCATTCTCGTCAGTATGCCGTTGATATGCGAGTATACTGGTCATTCTCAATCAAAGATGTAGCTTCATTTTTCAATGATATAAATGATGATCTGGAAGTGATTTAACTTTTATTGTTATCGATTTACATGTCCGACTTCTCAAGGCAGCTAAATAAATTTATTCCCATCAGTATGCCGTTGATATGCAAATACGCTTGTCATTCTCGTTCAATTCTCGGCAAATTTGTCTTTCAATGACATAAATTACTATCTTGAAGCGATTTAACCTTTATTGTTCTCGATTTACATGTTTGACTTCTCTAGGAACCTAAATAAATGTTATTCTCATCTCATATACATAAGTGAGGATCTTGAAGTGATTTCTCGCCAAAGCCCATGGTCTGATATTAAACGATTCCAATACCCAGGTTGTTCTTTTTGGCAAAATCACGATATAGAAGTTCTTGGTGCAGTTATGTGTAGTGTATGAAGGCAATCACATTAGCTAGCTACTCGACGGCTACCGACCTGGGAATTATCTTAAATTTCCAATTCTTTTTCCTCATTGGTTGTATTCCCGTTTACCACTTTGCGTTTTTCACTAGCATCGAACCGTACCATTAAACACTTAACTCTCTACGTCAAGTACGACTCAAAGAACAATACTAGATTTGAATCGAAGCCCATCTCCACGACTTTGTGGAGAAAAATATGACGACCCTATCGAAAGCTTAAGAGAAGTGAGAGTATTATGCATCCACTTGACATCACACTAGTATTTTTTGTAGAAAAGTTAAATTATCGGAAAAACTATTAGGCAGTTCTCAAAAAGGGATTTGTTGGATGCTTTTCGTAGGTTTTTCATTAGTTTTTTTTTGTTTTTCCTTGTATACTATTTTATTTCCAAATTTCATTTATTATCAATATTAATTTCAGTGTCTAGAGGATGAACTTGAACTTTTTGTAATTATTATTATTACTATTAGTTTCTCATAACTTTGGACCCTCCGCAACGTTCCGAAAAAAAAAGTTGGGTCATATTAGTTTTTTTTCTTTCTCTGTAGCAAGGTCACCGTTTCGGTAATATTAAAAGGTATGCAACAGTTGGAGTGGGTAGGAAAAAAATATTTATACATATACATATATGTATTTATTGGACGGCAGGTGATTTTTCTACAAATCGCATACCCGTAAGACGATATCACCAAACCAAGAGGGTGATGCGTTAGGTGAAACGGACTTAAAGAAACGCCCGATAAGGATTACGTTTTCGACCTCGTCACAGCACTATTTCTGCTATGCTTCATGTTACTGACGATTTATTGGGAGCAGCGGATTCTAAATTAAACTCTTGTCTCATACTCTTGGACACCTTCTCTTAGCTAAACTCAAATTTTTCTGTTCGCAGTTTATACGGCTGACTTCTCTACTTATCTTAAATTTTGTAAATCTCATCAATACGCCGATGATACTTAGATATATCTATCTTTTGCTGCTAGTGAAGCTTTATATACCGCTAGTAAAATAAATTTAGATCTAAAAATAATTTCGGAGGTATCTGCGGCTCATAACCTCTTACTGAATACTAACACAACGCAGATGTTATTATTTGGATATAAAAGGGATGATATTGTAAAAAACGAATCTTATAAGATTACGTTAAATGATGAGATTATCTCTCCTTCTTGAGACGGGTGGTTTGACGGGAAAGAAGTCAAACTTAAACTCTGTGATATGTCAGTTTTGTCCCATGTCGCTTCAATATTTCACAGTGTCCCTCTGATTCGGGTTGGCTCAAGCTGGAGGACCGACATAAAGTTCAGTTAGCCACCTTTGTTTTTTTGACTAAACTCCAATAGACCCCGTCGTACTTGTTTGATAAACTTTGCCTTCATAGTCGAAACACCCGTCATTGTTTGAGACATTGCGTTTCTAGACACAATTCGGTAACTTTCCAGAGATCTATTGGCTATAACGCAGTTAAAATATTTAATCAAATACCTTATCCTATAACGTCCCTCCCCACAATAAAGTCTTTCGACCAGCAAAGTTACCACCGTTTCGTCATTTCAGGGTGACATCTTCTCCGGGCTCAACGACGGCCTGATCAGCAGGGCCGAAGCCCTGGCCGCCGTCGACATCAAGCACCAAGGCTCCGGGGGCCCCGGGGGCCTGCCCCAGCTCAAACACGACATGATGTACCATCACAGCATGACCGCCCCGCCCCCGGTTAGTAGACCGCACCAAGTAAGTCGTCGCAGACGAGAAAATTGCCCATAAACGAGTTCCTATACATATATGCCATGATTCACGTATGGAGACCGCGGGTTTCTGGGTCCCCGCGGTGCCGTATTTCACCATTAGAGCCGGCAATGGTGTAAAGTGGTCATTTGACGTGTAGAACACAGGGGCGGCCCGCGGGGGAACCGTACGACCCCCCGGGGAAATGTCTGATGTTTGAACGGCAGTCGTTTGTCAAATGTTACGACTCGCGTTCTACGCGTGTGTGCGTATGTACGCACGAGGGTTGTTGTGTGCCGCTTTCGAGTGTTTGCTCGGCCGTTGTTTTGTGTAATTTGGTCGGCTGCACGCTCGTACGGATATAATCGCTTTCGACAAACAAAAGGCATTGACGATATGAAAAAAGTAGTTTAGTGACGCCGGTTCTAAGCCACTTCCGGCCGGAAACTAGGCATTGCGAGATTTTCGGACTTTCCGACATTGCTTACTTTATCAGATCCCTAAAACTATTTAGTAAACCCCAAGCCAAAGTGCCTCCAACCATTGGAGCTTTCGGTAAAAGATCAATTAACTTTTATTATTCCAGGACAAGAGAGCTAATGAGAGATACCGACACTAGAAACACGTACGCTAAGGTTATAATCGATGAGTTAAGTGAGGATGCAGATGTTATTGAATACATTGTGCATGGTATTAAATCAACAATTGTAGACGTATCCGGGTTAGGATTAGAAGAGCGAATGGAAGAACGCTGCGATGAAGTTAAAGCTTTACAGAGCAAAGAGGACTCGTTTGGCTTACATAAGGAATATCACACGTATATCGGAAACAGCATAAATCTAGAATACGAAATGAGCAAAACGAGTACATAATATCGCAAGAAGAGCTGTCGGGAATATGAATGAATAACGTCTTCAATAATTTCAAAGAAGATAGAACACCCCTACCAATTTGTATGTAATAAGTGTATTGAAGTTAAGGGGGATTATATTGAAAAATAATAAAAAATTGTTACGCCACTCTGTTTCTTTCATATTCAGGCCGGGAAATTTTGGCGCTGCCCTTGTATATTGAAAGATGAGATCGTCTATGCACTTAAAACTGCAAAAATGCATAAAGTGCCGGGTCCAGATGACATTGACATCGAGGCCTTAAAGTTATTACATGATAAAAATGCGAACATCTTATTTATGACACATGTCATATTCATTCAGTTACAGTCAACGTTTATAATAGTCCCGAAGACTTCCAACGCCGTAAAATGTCAAGACTACAGCTTAATTAGTTTAATGAGTCATCTTCTGAAACTGCTACTTCGAGTCATCCACACCAGAACATTTGAAAAGGACTTTAAGAGTGACTATTTTGTCGATTATGAGGCATTTGACAATGTCAGATATGATGTACTCCAGAAATTGCTCCGATGGTAGCATAACGCATGTCATGTCAATGGAAAAAAGAACAAAATGACTGTGATACCATCACGACCATCAGCACTATCCAAAGTCTGGCAGAACCGGTACAGCACGATTCTTGATTGCGAAGCTGGCTAATGCAAGTCACAGCAAACGGTGCAAAAAAACATGTGTTGAACTCTACTTAAATTGCTGCAATAATTCAAGACAATAAACCTTCGATTTAAAATTCAAAATTCCTTAAAACATCGAAACCTCCTAAAATGCAACTATCAGCAAAAAAATCAAGATATTTGTACATACGGATCCTATAGTCATCTATAGAACGCAAACCTAATTCTGCTATTAAGGCTTCTATTCTATTAGAATCTATGAAAAAATCTGTCAACGTTTAACTAGGTCAACAACAACAAATCAGGATTACCCCTTCACCGTATCGTTGGCATCTTTAATTATTCAAAGAAACTTCTTCAGGCTACTGTAATACAATTTGACAGAAACGTCAGTTGCATTTGAGCTCTGAACAAGCCAACAGGATGATTGGTAAAACGTTATCAAGTTCGACTCAACAACAACCGACACAAGACGAATCCAAAAGTTTTATAAATAGTATTGTTAGCATCATCAATCAACCTATTGTCTAGAAAAATTATATGAGTTGCTGTCAAAATTTCTCTTGAATAAATATCAGGAATATCTATGGGTCCTTCATTATTACCAGTCATCCGAACTATGTGAGAAAAAAGCCCCCAACACCGTCCATCTAAAACCAAAATTTTGGAAACCATGCTTCTTTTGATATCTGGCCTCACGGTCAAGAATCCCTCCAAGATTCTTCTGTTAAACTTTCGTTTAAACGTCACTAACAACACATTAAAAGTTCTTAATAAATATTATTTTACCACTTGTTCAAAATTGATGTATTTTAATTATAAGATTTTTGAAAGTAGGGAATGTATAAGTGAAGGAAATTTTATCTTTTGCATTGTGTTCGTATTATATGTAGACCTTTTGATGAAATTTTTATATTTTTTTCTTATGACTTTGATTAAATAAATAAGTAAGATTTTGATGGAATGCACAAGGTCCAATAAATTCGTTATTCAAAATCCGCACCAAAACATTTATTTTTTGTGGACGTTGTGTATGTTTTTTTCTCGTCCAAACTTCTTGAGTTCTCGGTTTGTCTCCATATTCATTAAAATCTAAAATTTAAATTCTCTGAGTTTCATCTGCGTGCGCCATATCAACTTTGATTGAAATTTTTATTTTATTAGAAAAAAAAAACATAAAAATGTTGTTGTTTTTTTTTCTGTCCTATATACCACGCGGAACAATGGCGTCCGGGCGTCGAAAAAAAAAATTAAACGCCCGGTCAAAGCGGCGGAATTTTTACATCCGGAAAAGTCATCAAAAATTGACGAAATTTCCAAACAAAACAAACGGCGAAAAAGCAAATATGGGCGTAAAAAAAAAAAAAAAAAAAGCGAATTGCGTGTGCCGACTACGGGCGGCCGCGGCGGGGGGACGGGGTGTATTTTCGCTCGCGTACGCAACGACGGGGATTTTTAACCCCCCAAACCCCCTCCCGGCCCCACCGCCGGGTTTTATGTGCACCTATACGTACATTTTTTTCGATTTTACATGCGCTACCCGATACGGTCGTATACGCCGACGTAAAAATGCCTTCGAAGCACGCTGTTTGCTTTATGTAGCCTTTTATCGAAAGATTTGGGCCGCAAAATGTTTTCGCGACCTTTATGCCCTGGTTTTACTACGACAAAGTAACATCCGCGACGTCTTAGCGACCAGAAACGCATTGGCTTGCATTTGGCAGCCATTTTGAATGACCCTTTCTAAACATTTTTGCTGTACTGCGTTGCAGATGTTGCTACTACTGTGCACGTTAGGCAACGAACGTGCGCCTGGAGTCGTCTAAGTCACTAAACTTAATTAAGCTTAATTAGAAACATTGAAAAATACATTTGCAAATGCTTCGCAGTCATTTGGGAGCTCGTTGTCAAACGTTAGGCAACTAAACGAGCCCCTTGAGTCCCCAAACTCCCAAACTCAAGTAAGGTTAACTAAAAACTTGCAAAAATATACTTGCTAATCTTTTTCAGTCATTTTGTGCTTCTACCAAACTCAAGTAAGGTTGATTAAAAACTTGCAAATAGAGCGTTGCTAATACTTCTCGGCGATTTTGGGAGGTTGTTCTACACTTCTAGCCTTGGCCAAAAATTTCCAAAAACGAATTTTCGAGACTTCCTTGGCCATTTTATGATAACAATGATATAAGGTTTTTATTAAATCAGCCATGCCAGATAGAAACATTTGGTTTCAACAGGTAGAATGGGGTCAATAAAATGGCCTGCAAGATCTACAGATATTACTGCACTGGATTTTTTTCCTCTGGAGATAAGTAAAGACGTGTCGTGTATAAGGAAAAATCACAAAATTGGCAACTTCTTTATTCGAAATCCAATTTTTGATTTGTTAATGAATTTATTCCATATAGTCTGTTGCTGTTGTTATCTTCTTATTCTAACCCATTTTATGACTGTGTTCTCTAAGGTCTTCATTTTTCACTCAGGTGGAATAGTGATTTTCCTAACCTGGATATTATTGTTTTCTATTCCACTGTAGACATCATTTGTGTGGTCTTCGTGGTATCCGTGCTGCACCCCCAGTGCTTCTGTTTTCAAATTTCCATTGCTAGTTAAATCTGATTAACCTGTTCAACTATTTCCTTATGAATTTACATCTTATCAACATCTTCAGATGTTGTCATTCATTATCTTGTTGATGGAGTGAGTTTCTCCCATTCTATATGTGTTGTTGTGTAATGTTATCAATTAAAATGGATGAACTGCATGTCTGAATTTCAGTCTTTCAATTAAAACGATTATTCGAAAAGATTACAAGTAGAAGTTTTTTTATTGAATGGCGGTTGTTTAACATATCCGTGGCAGAGGGGAAATTCTTCGCCCGCATAATTCGCGAATAAAAGCTCGTAAATACGAAAACACCCCAACGCGACGTTAGGCGTCCAACTTTTGGGCTATAATCAAAAAAATTTCAAGGCTCCCCCGGGGATCCGCATGTATTAGGCTTTAAAACGCTCCGCGCCCGCCTCCCACCGCCTCCAGGGGGGCGGGGTGAGAGCTCGTGGTTAGCGTTGAACTATTCGACCGACAATACGAAATAATCTCGGCCATACTGACCCGTTTCTAATTAAAATTTCACCGATTAAGTACCTTAAAACGATCAAACGTTAATTGGTTGTTTGCGCTTGTCCCGGCTACTCTAATGATGGTTTCTGGGGCGAAAACGAAAAATTGTGCACTCATATACTCGATCATTTCTATGCGTATACACGTGAGCCCATTCTAACTAGCAGAAGTATCGATGCAGACAAGACTAAACCCATTCTAAATGCCATAGGTATACTTCGACCAGAAATATAGTGCTTTTACAACCGTCCCCGTGTTTCTGTCCTCTGTTCTCCGTAACGGACCTTCGGTAGGTTTCTGAAGGCTGAAGCTTCTGTCATTATTTTCCCATTCACCCTAGTGGTGTCGGAACCGAACATCGTATTGTCAGCACCATCGGTCTCTTTTTTTGGTACTTTGTGAAACTTCATCGGTCTTTCTTTCTTTGGCTTTACGATTTCCGCCGGTGCAAGTGGTTGCAAGATTTCAATCCGAATAAGTTTGTGGCATCTCGTAGTTTTCGAGGATTAAACCGGATTGAAATCGTATAGAAGTTGCGGATCGTCGTCTTGTTGGTAGTATTTTGCTTGGACGTCCCCAACATTACAGCTTAGGCTGGATTAAAGCTAACCAACCTAGCACCTGGCACTCTTCACCGCCACCCACGATCATCAGGCGTAAGTTTCACAATTTATTTCACGCTTTGCAAGTAATTATGAACACCGCAACTCATTATTTTGTTTTGTAGGGTTTTGATTTTGGATTTGGTTTTTCTTTTGGAACCAGTTTTTGATTGTTGGTCTGGTTTTGGCTTCCCATTTGGTACTGGCTTCCCTAGTTCTGGTTCAATTGGATTTGGTGCCTCCTTACTTCGTGGACGGCACGTGTTATGAATTCTGCAACCCAAGAATTTGTCAAGTCTTCAAGTTAGCTCGGTTCAGGACGTTGCAGTGCATATCTCCTCGTCCAAGAGTGATAAGCATTCGTGCCTATCCCACTGACTGGTGAACCCGTAGACAGTATACAGAACAGCCATCTTAGAGCTTGCCCGACTCGTTCGTTGCTGGTAACTGGAGGATCACAGATAAGCCTCTATTTACGTTCCGGTTAATTTTATGCCTATTAAATACAAATTTCAATTTTTAAATATCAATATAAATTAAAGAGCTCAGTTAGGGTAAAGATAAAGTACACAATTATAGAAGCATTTTTTTGTAAGAATTATTTTTAAACGATCCATCGTAACCAAGCTTCCTGTGCTTAGTGTGTACGTGAGCCAATATATGGAGATTTAAACTGACGTGCCGGTCTTATTTATTAATTATTTATTTGGTTTTTGGTTATTTGGGTTCGAACTTTGTTAACTTTGTGAGTTTCTTTGGTGGCTAGTGAGCAAGGACACTAGTCACTATCATTAACTTATAGTATAGGTTGGTTTTTTTTATTTATTTATTTATTTATTTATTTTTCTATACCCCGCCCATATTTTGAGAAACTGAGCTGCTTGGGCCCTATACTTACTGCTTCCAATCGGTAGCAAAGTGAGCAAAGTATAGTAGGCTTGCTTCGGTCTCCCCTCCACCGTCAGTGGAAAAGAGACGTGGCAAGCTACCGACTTCAGACTTGGGAGAAAAGTCGAAGTCTGGATCCGCATTTAGACTCTTTAAATTGAGCAATAAAATTACGAGAAGTATTTTTTTTTATTTTTGAATTTTTTTTTGTGGTTATTTTGGCATCCAGAAAAATAAATCAAAATTCGTATAAATAATTGCTAATCCGTTCAAGCAGTGTTATAGTCCGTATCAAGGGCTACAATTTTTGTATTTACGGTTTTCATCTATCACATACGCTGTTCGAGATATTTGAAAAAATGCAAATGAAAATTACTATTTCTCGCCCTCAATGACGTCATTCAATATTACCACATATTGCATGGTTTCAGAAAACAAGTAGTTTTTTGAAAAACATTTACTCCATTGGAAAAATTCCGATACCAGTAAACTAAGGAGATCCAGGGCTATATCAAATCAAATTACATCGATTTTGCGAAACTTCCATAGTGGTCCGCAGGAGCCCGATAGAAAAACAATGCGTCCCTCTAGGACAAGAATAAGCGAAGCGCCTTCTTTTTAAAATAAAAAGCTGATTCGCGCTACTTGCGACGAACTGGCCTCGCCCAGCAATGATTTTTCGAAAGCAATCTTGTTTATATTGCTGCTCCTACTTCCCCTTCCGAATTTCTTATAAAATTGAAAACATTCAAAACAATTTGTTTAGCATCCGAAGACAAATCGATTCTTTTTTTTATTTGCTGAGGTAGTTCGTATTCTAAATTGTCATTAGGTTCGACTACCATCTCCACTTCCTCTTCAAATTCTGCGTTGTTTTCCATGTCTTCTTCTAACAGGGGAACATCTGCTTCATTCCACGGTCTCCACATTTTAAAGTGTTAAAAAACAGGAACCTTCAAAAAATGTTTAATTGCAAGATTCTAATAAATATTTTTCTGTAATCTTGTGACGCGACTATAATCTACAGTCTTAAGAAAGACCATTATTGTCTACAAATCGAAGAACTATGTAGAAGACAAAAATACAAGAAGATATTCAGTGAAAACGGCCTCGCAGCCAGAGAAACAGGTGCATTACTGGAAGGATCGCAATCAAATACCTCAGTTATAATTCTCGAGAACGATCCATATCACCTGATGTTAAAATCAACACTTCTACTTATCCGAAAATATCTCGCAGCATCAATGCTTAATCAAATTTAAAACGGTCCATTTACGTTTCAAATAAAAATTTCATGTTTCTACGAATATTCGTTACGGTCCATCTCAGGCAAGACCTAATTAATACAGAATAAAAATACTTAAAACGTCAAAGCAATAATTGCACTATATTTTAGGTCGTGTTATACCCAAGCTACCGTAATACTACTTACAAATCGTCCGGATTCCTTCTGAAACTGAAACAGATTCGGGAAGCGCCAGTAAGTTCGATTCATCGACGACCCACGCAGGAAGAATCCTGAGGATTTGTAAATAGTATGACATAGATACAAACAGCGCATCCAATCAAAACACTCCCAGGCAACGATGGGCAATCTAATGTGTTGAAATCAGTGCGGACGGCGGCACCCGAATAACCACATCCTCGTTGTTCCAGATGAGCCATATGGACGGTCTGGAGATGCTGGATCCCATATCTTCGTCGTCGATGACGACGTTAACCCCGATGTCCGAGACTCCGTCGCATATGCATTCCGCCTATGGTACGAACCACTTCATGAACCACCACCACCACGCGGGTCCGCTGTCAGGACACGGGGCCCCGGGCCACCACCCAGGGCATGGTGGCCACCCAGGTGCCCACCACCCCTCCGCCATGGCGGCGGCCGCCGCCGCCGCCGCCGTAGCAGGTCTCCATCCCGACGCCGACACCGATCCAAGAGAGTTGGAAGCCTTCGCTGAAAGGTCTGTATCATTAACAATTTTGCAATTATTCTTTAATATTGTTCAAAATATACTCAACAAAACTAAGAGCTCACTTTTTGTTCTCATGGCGAGTTCAAGCACAATAATTTTGTTGCACTTGATAGCCACTAACTACATTTAGGTCTGACCCGCTCTAAATCGCCTTTATATTACATATAAATAAGAATGTCGCAATTGTGGGTCCATGGAGGCAAAGGGTTCAAAGCTGCAAAACTGACAGGGTAAAAGTTTAGGCGGATTGTCTCTAACACCACCGTAATTTCCAGATTTAAGCAACGCAGAATAAAGTTGGGAGTAACCCAAGCGGACGTGGGCAAAGCGCTGGCAAACCTCAAGCTCCCGGGGGTTGGCGCGCTGTCGCAGTCGACGATCTGCAGGTTCGAGTCGCTCACCCTCTCGCACAACAACATGATCGCGCTCAAACCGATCCTCCAGGCGTGGCTCGAGGAAGCGGAAGCGCAAGCGAAGAACAAGCGGCGCGACCCGGACGCGCCGAGCGTTCTGCCTGCGGGCGAGAAGAAGCGGAAAAGGACCTCGATAGCGGCGCCGGAGAAGCGGAGCCTCGAAGCGTATTTCGCTGTCCAACCGCGACCCTCCGGCGAGAAAATCGCCGCAATCGCGGAAAAACTCGACCTCAAAAAGAACGTGGTGCGCGTGTGGTTCTGCAATCAGCGCCAAAAGCAGAAGCGGATGAAGTTCGCAGCCCAGCACTGACCGGAGGTGAATTTCGGCTTCTCCGTGAATTGACATTAGCGGTTAACGCGGCGAAAACCGCTTAAGCGGCGACGTTGACCGCTTTCAGGTAGCAGTTTGACCGCTAAAACTGCAAATCGCGCGATTGGAATAGGTGGGACGGCCTTTCGTCAATATTAGCGGATCCACGGCGCTTTGACCGCTTGAAACCATCTGTCAAGCGCGGAGGTAACCGCTGTAACAGTTATTTAATCGGTCGGACGTAGTGTGGCGCGATTTTGTTCAGATTTAGCGGATTGACTGCTCGACAATAGAGGTCCAATCGTTGCGAAAGCCGCGAAAACGGTGATATTGACGGATTCAAATTAACGGTTTGACCGGTAGACAGATCCGCTAAAATTGCGATTGGAGTTATGGAAAATGGCGCCACGACGGTTTGGTCAGTATTAGCGGATCGACGTGATGCTTGACCGCTTGACATCATCTGCCAATAGCCGAGTTAACCGCTGTAACAGTGAATTACTCGGCCGGATGTGGTGCGGAGCGATTTCGCGCAGATTTAGCGGATTGACCGCTTGAAAATAGCGGTCCGATCGTTGCCGAAGTAGCTAAAATGGTGACTTTAACTGATTCAAGTTAGCGGTTCGACCGCTACACAGTGACGAAATCAGACGATTTGGTCGGTATTAGCGGATCACTGTGACTCTTGATCGTTTGAAATCATCTGCCAATCGCGGAGTTAACCGCTGTAACAGTGATTTACTTGGTCGGACGTGTAGCGGTGCGATTTCGCTCAGATTTAGAGGATTGTCCGCTAGAAAATAGCGTTCCAATCGACATTTTTTTTAGGGAAATTCGGAGTTTTCGCGAGTCGCGAGTGAGCGGATGTAAGGCGTGTTAATTGACCGCTGGCGGTAAGCGGTCAACTCGAACTATTACGCCGGACGTTAAAGTTGACCGCTCGGCATAAATTGTTATTTTTTTAACCGACTTAAAGGAAAAAGTACTTTTCAGTTCCGGGGCGAGTTTGTCGCGTCGATGTAACGGAAAATTGTGGTTAAAAAGATTTTGCTCACAAGCAGCTGTGATATTTTTGGCCAAACGGTTTTTATTTCGGCGGTTCGTGGACGACGAACTCGCCTCTCGTCCCCTCCCTCTTAAGACGTTTCAGACTGAACGATCTCTGCTCACACGGCACTGTATATAATCGGCACGGTATAGCACGAAGCCGGTGCGCGACGTAAAACTTTTCATTTTAAACGGAATTTCTAACGTTTAGTCGGGCTATATATATGCCGCGACAACAAACTGGCATATTTGGCCGTACAATAGCGTGCAATTACGGTAGCCGGTTTTGAAGTTGTCGATCGAAGGATATAGAGACGGATAAAATATTCAGCGGGACTGTGATTAGCTCCGATTCCAATTTCTCCGGCAATAATAAAAGTTTTATGCGGCCGCGGCCGTCCTCCTCCCGCTCTGTTTTCGTACAGGGTGGCCCAGATATCGTGGGATCTTAGATTCGGTTAGAAATATAAATGAAAAAATAATTTGTCAATCGCCTATGCCTTTAAAGTAACAATTTTTTATTTTTAATAAAACGCCTTATATATACCGGGTGACCCAAGAAAGTGGGAACACTCTATAACTTTTAAACGGCTTGAGGTAGCGATTTGAAATTTGGGAGAAGATATGAAGTCAATGGTTTGAGCGGAAACGACAGTAATTTTAAATGGTACCGCCTTTTTTTTGCTTTTGTGGATTCTGGAGGTCATTCTACGTAGGATAGGACGCTTTTTCTCTTTTTTTCTTTTGTTTTCCTAAATTTTAATTTAATTTTCGAAAATTGTGAGTAATTTTCAATCATGCCAACTTGATGATGAATAGAAGCAAAGCCACCTAAGTAATATTTTGTTTTTATAAAAATTTCTTTACTTGTCTTGCTATTTTCTTCCTGCGAGCTTATTTTTTTAAGGATTTGGAAAACTTGGGTGTCAAAATGTTGAAAAAAATGTACCGGCTTTAAAAAGTTTTTGTTCCCTCTAGGGTGCTACTTGGAAAAACTGGGTTATTCCAAAAAATTATTTACTCATAACATTAAATGTTATTTGCCATTAGACAAGTAAAGAAAAGTTTCATTTACCATTTTTCACATGATCAGCCTCCTAGACAATTTTCAAAATTAAATAAAAATTAAAAAAAAAACAAAAAAGTGGGAAAAATCATCCTATCCTACGTAGTATATTCTCCTGAACCCTAAAATGCAGAAAAATTTCCGCTCAAAGCAGAACTAACCAACCACTGACTATATATTGTCAAAATAATGGACAATCAGCCTATATTATCCCTTCCAAATTTTAAATCGCTATCTCAAGGTGTTTAAAAGTTATTGTGTTCCCACTTTCTTGTGGCACCCGGTATCCACTTCCTCTGAACTTCTCGAAAAGTCTCATCGAAAAACTGGGTTGCAGGGTTAAATATATTAAACGATTTCATCGATTGAAACCTTTTGTTATATGTTTGGGTTCGATAAGGGCTCTGTGTTGAGATATCAAAAATAAATAAAACAAGGTATTCAAAAAGTAACATAATTTTTTTTTATTATAAAATCATTACTCAGGGGTCAATATGGCAACAATGAAAACACTTTTTGTTGAGTAAATATCGAAATTACCAACATTTCCATAAAACTATAAAAATGGGGCGTTTCCTTTAAATAAACATGACTTCAAATGATTTTTAAAATCATTTGGCTCAACCTGTATTCACTTATTTCGAAAATATCAAGACAAATCACTAATGTAAACCCGCGGACGTGATTTTTTGCATAAAATTCAAAATATTTCACACGCGGTAAGACCAAGATGCAGGAAATAAAAACGAATTGATAATGTTTTGCAGTTATCATTCAATAATAAAGGGGCCACCCAGTACATTTCCGACATAACAGTACAAGTTTTATACACCTTTCGATTCCTAACATGTGACGAATTACGTGGTTGTATATAGCGATAGAAATTTTTTCGAATGTTTATCGAGAAAAAACCAAAAATTCAGCCGCTGCACTCAGTATTAGGATTAAAAATTTGTCAGTATTCGCATCACGAGTGATAATAGTTTAAATTTGTTCGTCGGGGGGGGGGCGCGGCGATAGAGCACGCCTCCCCCCCATTTTTTAATTTTTATTCGAAACCAGTGCAATATTATATGTATATTTATAACATACTGTACATACTTCGTTCGTTATATAGTTTCAATTTTAAGCAATAACGTTGCGTTGACTGTCGACGCGGTAAATGTAAATTATTTAAAATATTTATTAACAATAATTTTCGCTCACCCGCCACACTTGGATATAAAATTAAAAAAAACCTTCTACAGGGTATATGAAACATATCACAATTTAGCCAAATAAACAACGCATATCACTTGTCGTTTGCGGAAGATCAACTTTTGTAAATAACCTAGTATCCGTAAGGTGTACATACATTTTCCAACTTTAATTTGCTCTCTAGTCAATGTTGTGATTCTTTTTTTTTTTTCGTTGTGATTCCGGTGCAATTTTCTTGTACAAATCCGTTGACAACCTTTGTTTACTTTTACATCTGATGTAAAATATTCCGAATAAATTATGTAATAAATAAAGTCGATTAGTAATTCATGGCGATTTGTTACACCCAAACCCGTCCAGCGCCAATTGAAACAAAATAGGAGTCATAACCGGAAAAACCATGAAAATATTTTTCGCGACAACAAAATGGTAGTCGTAGCCAGAAAAAATGTGTTACTCCTTTTCGGCTGATAGGACCCATTTTGTTTTTAAATTCACCTGACTTACCTTATTTGATAGATATGATAGAAAATCTCACCTCAGCATTGGGAATGACTCCATCGAAACAGTAGAATATTCCTTTCATTTGCATCACACACACCCGGCCGGTTAAAATCAAAATGGATGTAGTAGCCGGAAAAGTTGTGAAGACCTTTAGGTGAAAAAAAAACTCGATGTCACTCTACGCCCCGAAAAACGTTCTGTGGGGTCGAAGGCTAGCCACCCCCTTAAAAAATCATCCCCGGGTATCGCAACACTCGAGATCAGACCGGGGGTTCATTGAAAACAGATTAACGGAACAACATGGGCGGGTGCCGGTAATTTGATAATGCACCCGGGGCGTCCCCCGAGGCCGCCGCCCCTGGGACCGCGCGCCCTTTGATTTACACTAATTTCAAATATAACCTCGTTAAAAATTAATCTTCGGACGACGAAAGGGATCGGCAGTTAACCCTTTTTAAGGACATCGGGTTGGCGACGGGTCGAAGGTTTTTTTTGCGCCCGTCATTCGCCGCCCCCGCGAGGCACAGCGAGTAATTAAACGTCACGTGAGGCGACGCGGGAAAGGTCAGCGGAGAAACGATCGGGAAAAAATCCGAACGTCTTTTTCGATACACCAAATGTCGTCGCCCGTCATCGACCCTAACCCCTGCGCGCCGCTCCCGTCACGAAAGACAAAGGGTTCGGGAGCCGTGCATTAGCAGATACAAGCATAAGCGATCGGGGGTTGATTGAGCTTAATGGGGCGGGAACCGTGTTAGGCACTTTGTGTTGTACAAGGGTGACAAGGAGATGGCAATTTCGGGAAGGGTTGTGTTGTCAGATCTATATTATACTAACCCCCCACCCCCGTCCGCCCACACACCGGGATATCCGGACGCACTGTTATGTAAAACATATTGGAATTAAATTTTAAAAATGGCAGTGAATTTACGCGAAAATAATAATAATAAATTTAATAATAAATAGTAAATAATAAAAGTTTAATAAATTCTCAGACTGTGAAGATGAAACACTGTGACTGCATAACTAGATTCTCCCAATATGATGGACCCATCTTGCATTTTAGAGTGAAATAAAACGAAATAAACACATCCCAGGAGATTGCTCAAGCTTTCGCAGCATAAACAATGCGGATGACAATGATTTACAGATATTGTGAGTTTTAATTCGGTGGAAAAGCGAGTCTTTTGCCGCAAACCAGGTTCGTTAATAAGAACAATGGCCGAAATAGAAAGAAATATTTTTTAGAAAATCATTCGTACGACTCACTTTTAAGAAGGCTAGTTGTTGTCGTATTAAACCAAATTTTTATTAAAAAATAACTTAAGACTGAATGATATTCTCTTTTATGAAGGGAGACGCAGAATGTAGTCTTGTTTTCTTTATGTAAAGACGTTTTAAATAGTCCAAATTTTGTAATTATTTTTCCAAGATTTTTGTTTTGTGGACGCAGACTTGTCAACAATTAAGTTTCTTAAGAATTTGCAAACAAACGCAAAAAAAGCACGCCTTTTAACGGTTGTGGGTTATACCGGATGGTACACAAGAAGAAAAATTAAGAGATTGAAACCGATGAATGATGAAATTCCAATGTTCCAAATCGTAGGTCAGGGCCAATTATGGCAGTTTCACAAGAATATCTGTATGTTTCATCTTTTTAGGTAGATTTTCGTGGTTGAAAATCCGGATTTACAGGCTAGATTTACCCCAAATCAGAAAATTGCTTTTAGTTAAATACTTGAGTTTATTCCAGCAATATTAATTAACATAATTTTGACACGTACAAATGATAGGCATATATACAAATATGAAAGGGATAGTAATTAGTTTCATCTCCTCTACATTCCAGCTCACGTCCTTCTAAACGCAAAACGCAAAACACAAAAAAAAAGATTATAAAGCATGTTTATAAATTAATTTTTGGAATATTTATCGGTACTCAACTATTGTACAATTTTTGCACCTTACCTTAAATTCAGCTAGGTGTTCACAATAATTAGTTTGCATTCTAGGCTTTGTCTTTTGTCAATACCTCCAAGAAGGTCGCCCGAGGTGAAGTTCCTATCTCGACGACCTTTGAAACTGAGAACCGTCCATTGCAGAACATTCCAGACGGTCGTGCTGATCAAGAAGAGGAAAATAGAGGAATAGCATTAAAATTTGGAATTTGTGTGTTACATGCCTGTTTTTTGGTGACTTTTTGAATAACAATAGACCCTTGCTGTTATCTTAAGCTCTAGACTTTTCTTTGTAGCTAATACTACTCCTTCCTCTTTAATCTTGTTTATGTTTTAGCCACGCCCTCACCATCTGGGTGGCAAGGGCAAAAGTAGGACGTATTTCGCAATTTTAAACAATTCTCGGGTAGTGAATCACCGAGTACAATCATATTCTGACCACCCTTAATTCAACGCTACGATAACAGTCTACCTTCCCGTTATGTTTTAGCTTTTTTTACGTTTTTTTTTGTAAGCCCGTCGAAGTGCTAACACCTGTTCGACTGTTTTCTTTTTTAATTAACTTTCAATTGTAGCCGCCGCCGACGCGTCGAGGGCGGTTTTACGACTGCGGCGTTGGGAAAACTAATTGGCGGGGCGCAAGAAAAATTTCGTGCCGGCGGGAGGATGAAATCAATTAAAAAAAAATTCGCCGCGGGGGACGGGTCGTTTTCCGCGCGGCGACGGGTCCCCGGGGGCGGGCAGGGGCCTGTCAGCGTCACGGTACCGTAACAATTTAGGCGTGCGGAAGCATCGAAAAAGCATTTCGCGACCATGTTTGCTCATTTGGGCCATCATCCGTCCCTTGCATCGTGTTAGGATCCGGCTTTAACCTAAATTATTTACACTTTTATACCTTTTGGCATCGAATAAAAGGCCTTTCGACGGTTGAATACAAACGCGGGCCTTATAAGGCGACGATCGATACTTAATTTCTGTTCTGGTTCTTTCCCCCCCCCCCCATCACCCCGCCACATGACTACTGCCGCCTGACCGGACGATCACGAAAAGCGATCGCTTCGGATTATTTTATTTCTATTCTGATTTGAAAAAAAAAAATTAAAAACCTTCAGTCCAACTTTCTTTTTCTAGAAAATACTCTGGCTAAAAAAATTAAAACCTAGAACCTTAGGTATAAGTTTTGTTTTTAAACAGAATTTAAAATTTCTTTAATAGAGGAAATACTCATTTATTTTTAGTATTTCTTTCTACGAATTCGTACAGCTCGTTCTACAAGAGACAGCCTTGTAAATGTGGATGAGTTTATTTTATTTAAAAAGTCTTTATTAAAGAAGAAACAAGAAGAAATACTTGGTTAGTGTTTCTTGCTACCAACTCATTCTATAAGGGAAAGTCGACAAAACGTAGATGAAAATTTAAGCAATTTAAAAAATCCGACACCCTTCAGGCTATGTTTTATTTATAGTTAGTTTTCAGTTCTATGACCAATCGCAGCTGATTCTACCTGGAAAAAACTTTAAAAAATGTACTAGTTAAAAAGTCTTCATTGAATGTCTTCTTTCTTTCAATGAGCTCCTCCAAGTCTAAGTCGTCATTAAATGTCTTTCTTTCTAAGCTCGCACAGCTAAGGAAAATAAATAATTTATATATATATATATATATATATATATATATATATATATATATATATATATATATATATATATATATATATATATATATATATATATATATATATATATATACGAGGGTTAACCATGAAAAACCGGAATTGAATTGCCGCGCGCAGAGCTTGTATAGTACACCTTTCTGCCGCTAGGTTGTGAATAGTACAACTTATTGCGAGTTCAACGCCACCTTCGTGTTAAATTTAACTTGTTTTGTTCACTTGCACTTTGTTAACGCTGTTGTTTTGTTGTTTCGTTTTATTCGATGGCAAGTTTAAAAGAACAACGTGCAGCTGCGAAATTTTGTTTTCTGCTCGGTAAAAGTGCTGCTGAACCTGTTTCAATGTTAAAAACAGCGTATAACGACGATGCGATGGGAAAAACTCAAGTGTACCAGTGGTTTGTTCGCTTCAAAAATGGCGACGAGTCAATTGATGACCGACCTCGTTCTGGACGTCCATCAACTGCTCGAATCGACGAAAATATTGAAAAGATTCGAGAGATTGTGCTCACAGACCGTCGACAGACAATTGAACAATTATCAAACAATAGTGGGTTGTCTTGGAGCACGATTCAGTGAATTTTAACCGAAGATTTGGGAATGAAAAGAGTTGCTGCCAAGTTTGTTCCTGAATCAATCAACAGCTTGAAACGGATCGAGATTTTCTTTCAAAGATCATTACTGGTGACGAGTCCATGGTGCTATGGTTACGATCCAGAAACGAAGCAACAGTCCAGCCAATGGAAGACGTCACTGTCTCTCTCAATATAATATATATAATAATATAATATAGTTGTCTATGTATTAGTTGTAATGGGGGGATAAAGTCGTTCTGTGATTTTCAAAACATAGGAATTTCGACTCAGCAAAAACCGACGCAGGAGGAATCCAGAAGTTTTGTAAAAAGACATTGATTGATGACATATTGTTGTTGCTTGATTGTTAAGAAATTTTATTTCAAATACCTCCTCCAATACAGTTCACAATATCTGAGAAAGCAGAGATAATTATAAGTCACCTCATTTTAAACAGACAGGGTCTTTGGAGTGCAAAAATAAACTTGGCTTGACTTCCTCAGGGTCGAACAGTTTAAGTTAAGGAGACTTGAGCGAGGAACAAATATGCCACGAAAGGCAACACGCCAAATTACAAACAAGGAAAGTGTTATTGTTAGTTTTCTGGG